TATATATATATATATATATATGTGTGTGTGTGCGTGTGTGTGTGTGTGTGTATACATATTCTCTGACATATATACCAAGTTCACATCACCCAAACTTTAACAACATGTTAGTGATATCCTATAGAATGTCTTTATGGCTCCTACCAACATAGAACAATTTTAACACGGTTTCCTCTATGAACACATTTCTGTAAGCACGTTCAGCAGTTTTTCATAACAGACAATAAGAAACATATTATTTCAGTTGTGTTTTGGGACAGGGATTGGGGCCTGGGATGGAAACATCTCGAATTTGGTGGTGGGAAGGTGTCATGGTGGTGGGTTTGGTGTTTGGATATTAAATGTAGACAAATATTGTGAACTAACATAAAATTTAAAAAATTTAAAAAAAAAACAGAAAGAAAAGACTTGAGTAGCATTCTTAAGGATGGTGCTCTTACCAGTATGAAGAACCAAGACCTAGAATATTCAATTAAATAACTGATGTACATATTAGTAGATAACCTAGTCAAAAATTATCAGAAATGCAAAAATATACACCAATTACTTTCTAAAACATCACAAAGGTAGTTTCCAATTGTTTTTGGAAGGTGACCAAAGAGAGGCCTTGAATCATAGTAGGGGTCCCTGAATTTACTGAATATAAAACAATAATAAGTACACAAAACATTCAAATCTATGTAAGACACTCAACTGATGAGACAGAGGTCAAAATTCTATCAAGCACCCTCCAATTCCCTTCTTAGAGTCTCCAAATATCCTATGTTCCATTGTGGTATTTAAAAAACAAAATAACCAACCCCACTTAGGATATTATTCATGAATGAGTAAAATAACAACAGTGTTTTGTTCACACGTGGCCTCTCAATATCTAACATTTCAGAGCAATACTCTTTCAATAAGTAAGTAAAGTAAAGTAAAGTAAAGGCCCTCCCGTTGATCGTCAATTTGCTCGAGCGGGCCCAGTAATGTCTCCATTGGAGACTTTGTTGTTACTGTGTCTGGCATATCGAATACTCTCGGTAGCTTGCCGGGCTCTCCGAGAGGGGCGGAGGAATCGAACTCGGGTCGGCCATGTTGGCTGCGTGCAAGGCTGACGCCCTACCCGCTGTGCTATCGCTCCAGCCCGCTCTTTCAATAGAGTCTATATTTAGAAAGTTACTAGATTGATTCACAGTTCTGAGCAATATTTTAGTATTGTAAAACTAACTGTTATGTTCCTGATAAAAGATAACAGTACATTCTTATGGCTTCAGAAAGTAGGCATTTCTTTTTCTTCAAAGAAATGTTATATTATATTGACAATATTTTTCTTAAGAAAAATTTATTTTATTTACATCTTCTCCCTTGTAATAATGGACATTTTCATTAATCATTTTTCGTAAGAGAAACCTGATATGGGCTCATCTGAGTAAGTAGCATGAAATGTCAGGTGTCAGTGAAGTGAAGTTTGCAAGAAGAGACCCTGGAATGGGCCCAGTGCTCTTCTCCCTGCTCCCAGGGAAGGGCAGGACCACAACAGGGCTGGCTCCACTGTGTATTCTAGGCAGGAGAGACCTCACCAGGTAACACTCTAGATCTGATCTCCTCTCATCTTTTCTCATCCGTATTTATCTAGTCTCTGATAACACCATTGATGCTGTCATCACTTATACCAAATCATATTTGATACCACACAGAAGCAGCAGAAGGTCAAGGCTTGTGATAAAGGGGCCAAATTATTATTGTTAGAGTTTGTCTAGTTCTCACTCTTGGAAGAACCCGACAGGCTACCTACCTACACAGCAGTCTGCCAAGCTCCCCGTGGCGTATTTGATATGCCAAAACCAGTAACAATGATGGGTCTCATTCTCCTGACCCTGAAGGAGCCTCCAATGTGGCACTTGTTAAAATCTCAGCGCTAGGATGAATGGAGATGTTACTGGTGCCTCCATTCGTCCTAGCCCTGAGATTTTAGCAAATGCCACATTGGAGGATTTCCCAGAGGGATGGGAGGAATCAAACCCGGGTCAAAGCAAACACCCTACCCTCTGTGCTATCGCTCCACCCCATTAAGGAACAGTATATTAAGAAATACAGCCCAAATCTGAAAATAATCCAAGCGCTCAAGAATGAAGAGATGATGGGCTAAAGAAATGAGAGAACACAGATACAGAAATAGTCTCAGTGGTAAGCAAAGATGGAATCAGGCAATTTGCTACCACATGGAGGCAAGTAGAGAGTTTGGGGCTGAGTGACTCTCTCATAGGTGGGATATAGAGAAACAGTAAGAGAATACAGATAGCACAGTACATAACAAGCAAAAGCAAGAACTGTCCAGACGGATAAACCCCATTTCTCTGGATTCTATCAGCTCTCTCTGAAAGACTTCCCAGATCTTAGATTCCATAAAATGGATGAATTCTATGAAAACTATCCTGATTGAAAGAATGAATCCAGACAAAAGACTGCATGAGCGGGTCCCAAAATGACAATAATAAAATAGAAACTATTATTATCATTATTCTGCATGCACGATGCTGGGTGTGACCTCAGGTCTTACACATTCAATGTGACTGCACTAAGGCAGAGGAATAGCCTTATCCCCAGAAATAGGTTTGAAATATGCACAAGAAGTTTATGAGGAACTACACAATTAGGTGAGGGGAATAGAGAAATAAGTATATGAGGTTTGGCCTATCTTTCAGAGAAGATATATTTTTAACACGAAAAATTTAAAATTGAACTCTAATATAAGCAGTGTTCCAAAACTCTGCCTTAGAAATAGCATTAGAGAAGGAGCTTCCTCAAAGACTTGTCTTTTAAAACGCCTGTGCTTCCCAAGTATAAACCTCCCCCTCCACTCTGGGGGATTCTGCAGGATCATATCCAGTTTTCTCTCACATTTTATTTCATAGAAACTACTGTGGCATAATCATATTAAGAGCAAAGTTTTCATCTAACTTTCAGTCATAAGTAGAGACAGAGATGTAATTACACGCATTTTATAACATATTTATTCTGTATTTCAAATGACAAAGTAAAAGTCAATTTAATCTGAATGTCATTTTAAACTAATATTTAAAAAGAGTCACCTTGGTAAACATTTGAGCCAAATCTACAAGGTCTGTATGAGTGCTTCCAAAATAGACCCAAGCAAGGGAGGGGATCCTTTTTTATATAGTAACTTAATCACCTCCCAGGAGAAAAGGTAAAATCAAGTTTATCAAGAAGCTGCCAAAACCTATGTTTTAGAGGTTGGCTTGGCTTCTCAAATCACTGTCTCAGAAAAGGAAGTTCAGTAGTTTAAGAGGATTAATCTTACTTTAAAGGATAAAAATAACTTGCTACATTGGTGAGGAATGAAGGAAATATGGCATTTCTCTTCCCCGGTTACTACTGTTTCAATATAATGATTTTAAAAAGTCTTAGACACAAATGAATTTCAATATTAGACTTTTCAGGAAATGGTTATAAGAAAGCTTAATATATTGAATGTGTTAAATAATTTTCAACAGATTATTGCAACAGTAGTGCATTATATCATATAAACATACAAAGTGTCTACATATTTGTGCGTATATAAGACTAAGTACATATTCTATTACTTAATTTTAAAAGTAATTCTAGACTGAAAAAACATAACAGCTATAAAAATTTTATTCCATAATTAAATAATTTAATTTTATATGCTCTAAGTTCTAGTAGAATTAATTTCTATATTTAATATATATATTCCCTAACCTTTATTTTTATACCCTAGTGGGTATAAAATATATTAATTTTTATGTAGCGGAACTATTATTGGTGTTAGCATCGGTGTTACCTAAAAAGGAAATGGTTTTTAGTAATGCTGAGATCTCAATAAAATCAATACTTTTGTAACTTCTACCTGATACAATATTAAGAAAAAAATACTAACTGATACAGAAAAGAGCTTTCAACATATATTATCTTTCAATAAGCAAGAAATCTCAGGATTAAGAAACAAAAGGCAGAATGGAATTCATAGCCTTCTATAATATTAATAAAATATCGAATATTTAATGTAAGAAAATTTGTACAAGTTACTGCACAAGATATAAGCAATGTGAAATTGAGTAATCTCCACATAAAACTATATAATTTTTTTAAAACATCACATCAGACTAAATGTGCATCTAAATGTCTTAAATCACACTAAATGGAAAACACTAATTGTGAGCCACAGCTTCATTCCAATTTCAAATATGTTTCCATTTCTTAAATCTCGCATAGAAAGATAATTATAATAAAATTCAAAAATCCCCAACGCAAATATAAAATAGTGGATACATTATTGAATCACAGACTCCAAGACTTTATATCGGTAATGTATATAGCTATCCAAAGCGAAAAATTCTATTAATCATTGTCATTTATGTACTCATATCTCAAAAGATTGCTTTTGAAGAAATGGTTTTATAGTTCACTTTATAATTCAAAAATTATTTTATCATTATTAAATAATTATGATCTAGAATCAAGAACGAAAACCGGTTCCTAAAACCGTAACCAGATACATAGGACCAAATAATTCTAAAATTATTGCAGTGTGAGGCTGGAGTGATAGCACAGCGGGTAGGGCGTTTGCCTTGCACGTGGCCGACCCAGCTTTGATTCCCAGCATCCCATATGGTCCCCTGAGCACTGCCAGGAGTAATTCCTGAGTTCAGAGCCAGGAGTAACCCCTGTGCATCGCCAAGTGTGACCCAAAAAGCAAAATAAATAAATAAATAAATGTAAAAAGATTATTGCAGTGCGCCTTATATAGAAAAAGAAAGCGCTGCATAAAGCAATAATTTAATTTATATTCTAAACCTCTATTTTTATTTAGCAACTAAAAGACAATAGCAAAAAAAACTAATATCACCATTTAAAGCAAATTCCACAAGGATTAAATTCGTTCAACTTACCAGCTCAACGTACTTATTTAACTAATCAGCAAACTTGCTATAAACCACCTAGCACATAATAAGTGATCGGCAGAGTCAGGCTTTTACCTTGAAAGGCAGCGGCTCCTCGGTGAGGGGACTCACGGGCAGGGACGAGGTGCTCCTGGCGGGGCTCAGCTCTGAGCTCTGCAAAGGAAACAGAACTGAAGTAAAGCAGTGGTCCTCCGGGCTAACTGGTCTGTGGGTCCGGGTGCTCAGGGATACTCATGGGCCTACCCAGGACCCGCAGCCACCTGACTCGTTGGGCAAACAGTTATCTCAGAAAGTAACCTCATCCATCTACGCACACTTCAAGATTAGTTAAACAGCATCAGAAACTTTGTGTTTCTGATTATGTTATTTCATGTTATGTGCTTCATTTAAGTTTTACATTTTTCCCCTTCTTTAAAATTTAGTTCTATCAGTGATGATTTATTATGTCACTATTTTCAAGTCTTTCGGACTAATTTTCTTTCCTTTTTTTTTTCTTTTTGGGTCACACCCGGCGATGCACGGGGTTACTCCTGGCTCTGCACTCAGGGATTACTCCTGGTGGTGCTTGGGGGACCATGTGGGATGCTGGGAATCGAACCCAGGTCGGCAGCGTGCAAGGCAAATGCCCTACCCTCTGTGCTATTGCTCCAGCCCCCAGACTAATTTTCTAATATATGTTTATTAGAATTAGATAATTGCATACCTTTTGTATTCTTTATGAAAAATATATCTGTTATCGATATGCAATTAAAAATGAAGATATTAATTTTTAAATTCCCTATATATGTAATACCTGACAATTAACAATCTTTCTTATTATTCTGCTAAGCAAAAATTTAAGAGTCATTGATTTAAACTAATCGAATTATTGAAGTGTAGCTAATACTTTTTCTGGCCCATTAAAATATAATCAATTAAAACTTCTGAGGTAAAGAATTAGCCTAAAAGATACAGTCTGTAAAATCATAATTTTCTTTCCTAAAATCAAAATAATTATACCAATAACCTCAAACGTCCTAAGTTCTCTTTACATTATTGTATATAAATTTACATTTATTTTCTCAGAGGAATTCTCTAAGAAGGTAAAAAGAACATAAAAAATATTAAACAGGGGCTGGAACGATAGCACAGTGGGTAGGGCATTTGCCTTGCACGCAGCCGACCCGAGTTTGATTCCCAGCATCCCATTGGTCCCCTGAGCACCGCCAGGGATAATTCTTGAGTGCAGAGCGAGGAACAACTCCTGTGCATCGCCAGGTGTGACCCAAAAAGCAAACAAAAATATATATATACATATATGTATACATATATACATTTATATATATAAATGTATATATATATTAAACTCATATGTTTTCCTCATGAAGAAATCAAAGCTGGAAAAACCTAGGCAATTAATCAACATGAAGATACTTTATCAGAACCTGAGATAGACCAAAAGGAATTCTAAGGGAAAACAATAACAAGAATAGTTGGAAATGATGACATCACTCTGGACAAGAACTGCATGCTGAAAGGAGATAAAGGGATATACATGATAACCTTTCAGTAACTATATTGCAAACCATAATGCTCAATAGTAAAGAGAGAGAAAGTGAGAGAGAGGGGGGAAGGGAAAGAGAGACAGGGAAGGAGAGAGAGAGAGGAAAGAGAGAGAGGAAAGAAAGAGAGGGGGAGAGAGAAAGGGAGAGAGAGGAAAAGAGAGGGGAGAGAGAGAGAGAGAGAGAGAGAAAAGTTTCTGCATTAGGGGCAGGGAAGTGCGGTGTGAGAGGGAAATGGGACATTCCTGGTGGGAAATGTGCCCTGGTGAAGGGATTTATGTTGGAACATTGTATGACTGAAACCCAACCAGAAACAACCTGGAAACTATGTATCTCATGATGATTCAATTTAAAAAATAAATAAATTAGCAATAAAACCCTACTGCAGTGTTAAAGAATACAAAAGATACCCAAGACTGGGATGACATATTTGCCTACCGCTCATCTGAAAATATCCAAAATTTATAAAATCCATTGAAAAGCTTAACAAGAAAAAATAATCTACATCCAAAATGGGGAAAAGAGACGAAGAGAAATTTTCTCAGAGAAGACAGACATATGGCTAACAGTATACAGGGAAAAAAAACCAACAACAACAAACCCCACCCTGCAGGGGTGATCATCAGGGAATACAATAACAATAAAGAGCTACCTGCCCATCAGTGAGGCTGGCACACATCAAAGTGAATAGAGACAGATGAGAAGCACCAGGTACAGGTGTGAAGGGTGTTCAGGTGCACAGGCAGTGATAATGAGTGACAGAGCTAAGTATCTCAACCACAAAGACCAAACATTAAAAAATCCTCTTAAATGGTGCCTATCAAGAGGGCAGGCTGGGAGTAGGGATGGGGTAGGAGAGGGATCTGGGAACAATGGGAGGTGGCAATGGGGGTGAGAATGGTGAAGGAACTTTGTGTACCAAAAACCCAACTATCCGAGTAACTTTCTAACTCATGGTGCTTTGATAAAATAAAAAAAAATTGGTAAGAAATGAATAATTTAAAAAATCCTACAGAAAACAGAATCACACATTAAAAAATCAAAAACTTTTAAGTAGAGAAAGAATGAAAAGCAAATTAAAGTTCTGAAGTACAAGGAAATAATTAAAAGTAGAGTATGAATTAAAAAAATAGAGTTCAACCAGTCGGCACACCAACCACACACGCTAGGGGAAAAGGCAGCTCAGATAGAGAAGGGAGCACCAAATAAAGGGTGTTGGGAGGATCCTCCCAGGATGGGAGAAGCATGCTGAGTAGACTATAGACCGAACATGATTGTCACCCAATGCCTCTTTTGCAAACCACAACACCCAAAAGGAGAGAGAGAACAAAAGGGAATGCCCTGCCACAGAGGCAGGGTGGGACGGGGGGGATGGGGGTTGGGAGGGATACTGGGATCTGTGGTGGTGGGAAATGAGCACTGGTGAAGGAATGGGTATTTGATCATTGTATAACTGAAACACAAGCACAAAAATTTGTAAGTCTACAACTGTGCCTCATGGTGTTTCACTAATTTGCTCGAGGCCCTCCCGTTGATCGTCGATTTGCTCGAGCGGGCCCAGTAACGTCTCCATTGGAGACTTTGTTGTTACTGTGTCTGGCATATCGAATACTCTCGGTAGCTTGCCGGGCTCTCCGAGAGGGGCGGAGGAATCGAACTCGGGTCGGCCATGTTGGCCGCTTGTAAGGCAAACGCCCTACCCGCTGTGCTATCGCTGGGCTGGAGTGATAGCACAGCGGGTAGGGCGTTCGCCTTACAAGCGGCCAACATGGCCGACCTGAGTTCGATTCCTCCGCCCCTCTCGGAGAGCCCGGCAAGCTACCGAGAGTATTCGATATGCCAGACACAGTAACAACAAAGTCTCCAATGGAGACGTTACTGGGCCCGCTCGAGTTTCACTAATAAAAATCTAAAATTAAAAAAAATAGAGCTCAAGAAAGGCAATCTACACAGCACCTCAATCTACATGGCACCCCAAGGCCCACCAAGGATGATCCTAACACAGCCAGATTCAATCCCTGAGCACAGCCTGGCAATCTGTCTCCCACTCAACTTCCTTGAAATATCAGAAACACTACTGTAACTCATGTCACCTCAATAATAATTGAATAATTATACTAATGATACATTTATCATGAAGGAGTAAAGGTGTCACTATTTACTGATGAAATTCATAGAAAATCTCCATATTCCTAAGAAAAGCTGTCAGAAATAATAAATGAAGATAGTACAATGACAAGCTATACAATTATTAGACAGTACTCAATATCTTCTACACACAAAGAAGCTAGCAGAAAGCAAAGGCATGAAAACAACCCTCTCTATAACTGCAAAAGAGGTAAAACTTTGTAAATATAACCAGAGGTAAAAGACAAGTACACAGAAAATCATGTCACTGCTGAAATAAACAGATGGCATAAAGAGATGGAAAGATTAACTGTGTTCATGGCTTAGAACAATTAACATCATTAAGCAATATACAGGTTCAATGAAATCACCATTGAAATCCCGAAAGAAGACTTCACAGAAATAGAACAGAAAATCATGGAACTTGGGTGGAACTCCAAACATTCCTGACTATCTGAAGCATTTCTGAGATAAAAAAAAACAAACAGACAAACATGACTAGTGCATGCCCGTACTACGGAGTGACAGCACATACTGAAATGAAAGTGCGAAAATCAGTGGAACAGAACCGAGAGTCCAGAAGCTAAGTTTCAAATATATGGACAACTCATTTACAGCAAAGGAATTATGAATCTACACTGGGACAAGAAAAGTCTCTTCAATGGATGGTGCTGGAAAATTAGATAGTCACAGGCAAAAATAAAATAAATATAAAATTGACAACTGCCTAATACCATATACAAAAATTAACTGACCTGGCTTAAGGGCCTGGCTCTATCACCTGAAATCATAAAATAGAAGAAAACATAGACGGCACTCTTCTTGACATCGTCTTAGATGTATTTGGAGATTCAACTTCAATGAAGATGGAAATGAAAGGTAGAATGAAAACTTTCAAGACCAAACCTCAAAAAACTTCTGGACAGCTAAAGAAAATCTACATGAAAAAACAAATCAACAACCAAAGAAAATCCTACTGAACAGAAGAAAAAATATGCATATCATACATTTGATAAAACCTAAGATATAAAAACTCATAAAAATAAGCAACCCAATGGGAAATGCAAACTGAACGACAATGATTTATGTTCTCATAACTATGGAAAATTAAGAAAAAAGTTTTGCAGAGAATGTGGAGAGAAGGGGTGCTTAAAAACAGTGCAATGTTCAACAAAACAACTAAAATAGGAAGGTCTAGAGATTTAGATATCAAAGTTCTGGGTACTTACCCTCTAAATAGAGAAATGTTCATTTAAAGATATCTATTACTTCCACATTTACTGTAGCATTATTTACAGTGTCCAAGAACTTGCAGAGGACCCGAGGGCCCTCCAAGTGACCCATGAATAAAGCCGATGCGTAATACAAACAAAATGATTTATTCTTCCATAAAGACAAATAAAATGCTTTCATTTGCCACAACAGGGATGAACCTTGAAGGTATTCAGCTAGATGAGATAAGTAGAGTGAACAAGAAAAGGCATG